TCATGACTGCTATATGGAAGATTATTTCCAGGTAAAGAATAATTTTAGTACGTTCAACAGAATGCTGCTAAGGACAGGTGTTGACACAATAGCTAGTCTTTATGCTATATTTAGAATACAAAACCTGGAGTATACAGTATTCTGCAGACAAATCATAAACATTCTGTAAAGAAGTATTCTTAAAAGTATAAAAGCCAACAAACCAAAATAATGATAAGATATTCATCTACTCATATCTCAGGTTTTTCAAAATTGTATGAAGATAGGTTGGGTAAGGTACAGCTATCAGGCACTATAAGGGAAGGATGACAAAGTACTATGCTAGCAACTCTTCTTGCATACTGCCTGACACCTCGACATGACCTAACCTTCTCTTCCTTCCATGTGCTAAGTCAACAAAGGCAGAAACAGGTCAGGTCAGGTACAGGTGTCAGGCAGTATATGGGAAGGATGACATATCACTTTGCTAGCCACTCTTCCCACATAGTTCCTGAGACCTCAACTTGACCTGACCTACTTCTTCTGTATGCTAGGTCAACAAAGGTGGAGACAGGTCAGTGGTATGTGGTATGCCAGGTGGTATGTAAGACAGATGACAAAACACTATGCTAGCCACTCTTCTCGCATACTGACACTTCAACCTGACTTTACCTGACCTACCTCTCCTTCCATGTGCTAGGTTAACAACGGCAGAGACAGATCTAGTCAGGTGGTATATGAATAAGATGACAAAGCACTATGGCAAGCCACTCTCCCAACTTATCACCAGAAACCTCCACCTGCCCCAACCTACCTCTGCTGCTTTTCCCTTCAGTAAATATTATATATAAAGGTCCGATCTATAGCCAGTTATTTTTTATTCCACTAATTCATGGAACTTTTTTTGGTAAAAATTAGTAAATGAAAGAATATCAAAACAGATCTGATTCACAAGTATGAGAAAATTTCTAATAAATGTTTTAGCAGTAAAATCACAAGTGTATCTACAAGAGACAAGTTATATGAAGAAAGGTACAAAAATGCTCCCTTTTGTAAAAACTTGAGATAGACAACACTAAAAATATTAGTATATTCTAACAAAACACCCTAGAGATTACTGTTATGAAGTATAATAATAAGATGTGAGAAACTATATGTCACACTTAATTGATAATATTAATTATATGGCTCTAAAATTCCAAATTTTACATAAAAATGATAAATTGAACTTCCAAACCAATGATTTTGTAGAGCTAATTAAGTTTGTTTCCTTTATGTAATCTTTCATGATTTGGTCTCTCAAGATGATAGCTAGCTAAAGAGGCTGAATGCACTAGGTGAGACACTATCAAACTATCTGTTCAGAGTTATGTAATAATTAAGTGCGTACACAAAGCTTAAATCACAATTTTCCTATATATATGTTCAAAATGGAATTTTATAAAAATGTTTTATTCCATACCCTCTTTTCAGTTCAAAAGCACAGTATAGAAATACATACAAACTGTTGGCTAACAAGGTTTGTCAATAGATTTACTGGTGTGGACAACATACATTTACTTATAACTTAGAAAAAAAAATAATAACACATTCCTGAACTCATATAAATAGGAATAAACTAAATGTTCACTTATATGTGGTAACAGAATAATTGACAATAATAAAAATATGAAAGGATACACCTAACAAAATGACAAGGGAAATAATAGATCTATGACAAAATATATTGTTAGTCAATAATTAGTCCAGGCTTCAAAATATTTCATCCTATGTGCGAAAACGAACACCATGAATGGCATGTTGATCTATCTGGCAGGTTGATTTATCTTGGAGGTGGTGATATAGTTCATATCACAAACTCAGAGATGACTAATGTCAACAAGTTAGTCATGGTGATATGTGAGGCAAGGTGTACAGTAATAGTATAAACTGAAATTGTTTTATTATTATTATTATTATTCATTTCAATCATGGATTTAGTTAGCCTTATCTTTGAAGCCTTTTTACTTTAACTGATATCAACTTTTAAGTACTTCAGTTTAAAGACCACTTTTCTACAATATAACTACAGTCACATTACCATGATGCATTTAAAACTGCTCAAGCAAAAATAAGATCTCTGGGTGAGTGAAATGACTACATAAATGTGAGGTACTGTGTTTAATTCAGAAAGCTTGTACAGAATAAGAAGTAACTCTGATTCTAATGTCAATTCTAGTAGATATATATTAGCTGGTAGCAATATATAATTTAGTTCCAAAAACATTTACTATATAAAATGCTTGAATAAAGAAGTCACAGCAGGAAAAGAAACACCAAATGCACAATTCTACAGTTGAACCAAATAGTCTGACAATAGGAAACACAACAATCCATGAATAACGAGTCAAACTGGATTAATCCAAATTCCAAAAACTGTGGACTTGCATCTCTTGCATTGTGATTGTGTTCTACTATTTATGGAATTTTTCTTAATATGAGTATACATATAGGCTACATAATGATTTGAAATTTATGTTGACCATCACTTGTTCCATAAAAAGCAAGCACTGTAGCCATTCAATATACATACTTCATCATAATGTGGTTGTGCTCCATTCCAAAGATCTGTTCCTTATGAGCAAATGGATATAGAAGATCTGAGCAGTTACAATATACTGTTGCTTGTATATTAACAAAGGAGGCTAACCAAAGTGTAGGAAGTGTATAGTAACCAAAGCATCAAAGATAAGGCTAAAAATATCAGACTCCTGAATTTTTACCTTTATACACATACAATTCACAAACCTTTGTTTATAAAATATCATTATTACTTTATTACATTACACATAAACAATCACGTCTTTTTTGAAACACTTGATTATTTATCATGCCTCAATATGAAATTAAAGAACACATGATATAGCCTTTTAGTTCATCTAAGACTTGATTTCTTAGCTGCAAAAATTGTTTTGGTTACAGCAAATACAGTTTAAGTATTTGATAAAATTTATTGAAAAATAATTTTGAGATGTTAATAAATTCCACAATGATACAACTAAATTCTGGAAAATTACCCTCAATAGCTATATATATTTTAAGTTTTCACAATGAATTATGTCATATATCAAAATCTTTTTGGAATTATATAATTTCAATGCACTTTATCAACATAATCCAATTACACATGTAATAATAGAAAATGTAAAAATAGATAAGGACAAATGTATCATACAATTTCTTGAATGTATTAACCAGAGTATAGCATACTGCATAGCATACCATGTGGTCCCCACATGGTCTGTATCCACAGTTGTAGCAAAGACCCTGTTTTATTGCGCAGCTTGATGGGTCAAACAAATTCCAGACTTCAAGGAACCAATATCATGTACACTATTTTCAAAACCACTATTAAATTTTGCTTAATGTTATTTATTCTTTTTTTTCTTGTTACTCTGTATAGCATACTGCATGGCATACCATCTGGTCCCCACGTGGTCTGTATCCATACCGCGTGGTCCACTATGCTTAGCATGCCACGAGGTCCGTCCATGCCGCGTGGCCCGAGGGACGCGCAGCCCACTTGTGCTCGCTTGCGCCGCTGGTCAGAGGTCAAGGTTGGCCACCCTTATATTCTGACCAGCGGCGCAAGCGAGCACAAGCAGGGTACGCGTCCCTCGGGCTACGTGGACTGGACGGTCCGCGTGGCATGCTAAGCATAGTGGACCACGCGGTATGGATACGGACCACATGGGGACCACGTGATATGCTATAAAGTATGCTATACAGAGTAACAAGAAAAAAAAAAAAATAAATAAAATCAAGCAAAACTTAATAAAGTGGTTTTGAAAATAGTGTTCATGATATTGGTTCCTTGAAGTCTGGAATTTGTTTGACCCTTCAACCTGCGCAATAAAACAGGGTCTTTGCTACTGCTGTTTGAAACAGTGGGCACATTCATTAACATCAGCTCTTTATCATCAGTAGTTGACCCAGCATCTTTGGTGTTCAGGGGAATTCATCTCTTGTCACAATAGTCTTGAACAAAAATTTAATAAAGGTAATTGGTTAATGGTAAAAAAAA